GGTAGTGATCACTGCTATATATAGAGGTCTCCTGGTAGTGATCACTGCTATATATAGAGGTAACCTGGTATAGTGAACACTGCTATATATAGAGGTCACCTGTTACGGTGAACAAAGCTATATATAGAGGTCGCCTGTTAAAGTGAACACTGCTATATATAGAGGTCACCTGTAGCAGTGATCACTGCTATATATATAGAGGTCACCTGGTACAGTGAACAATGCTATATATAGAGGTCACCTGGTACAGCGATCACTGCTATATATAGAGGTCACCTGTTAAAGTGAACACTGCTATATATAGAGGTCACCTATAACAGTGAACAAAGCTATATATAGAGGACACCTGTTAAAGTGAACACTGCTATATATAGAGGTCACCTGTTTCAGTGAACACTGCTATATATAGAGGTCACCTGTTACGGTGAACAAAGCTATATATAGAGGTCTCCTGTTACAGTGAACAAAGCTATATCTAGAGGTCACCTGTTACAGTGAACACTTCTATATATAGAGGTCACCTGTAACAGTGAATACTGCTATATATAGAGGTCACCTGGTACAGTGAACAATGCTATATATAGAGGTCACCTGGTAAAGTGATCACTGCTATATATAGAGGTCTCCTGGTAGTGATCACTGCTATATATAGAGGTCTCCTGGTAGTGATCACTGCTATATATAGAGGTCAGCTGTTACAGTGATCACTGCTATATCTAGAGGTCACCTGTTACAGTGAACACTGCCATATATAGAGGTCACCTGTTACAGTGAACACTGCCATATATAGAGGTCACCTGTTACAGTGTACAAAGCTATATATAGAGGTCACCTGATACAGTGAACAAAGCTATATATAGATGTCACCTGGTACAGTGAACAAAGCTAGATATAGAGGTCACCTGTTACAGTGATCACTGCTATATATAGAGGTAACCTGGTATAGTGAACACTGCTATATATAGAGGTCACCTATAACAGTGAACAAAGCTATATATAGAGGTCGCCTGTTACAGTGAACAAAGCTATATATAGAGGTCACCTGTAACAGTGAACACTGCTATATATAGAGGTCACCTGGTACAGTGAACAAAGCTATATATAGAGGTCACCTGTTAAAGTGAACACTGCTATATATAGAGGTCACCTGTTCCAGTGAACATCACTATATATAGAAGTCATCTGTGTTAGCAAGCATGGCTATATATACGGGTAACATGAAGTTGTTTAAAAGATTTTAAAAAAAAGTAAGCATGTGGTTTAAACTCTTAATTTCCATCATCAATTAAATATTTGATATTGCATCATTTTGACTCATCTTGCTCTTGAAATAAGCACATTATGCAAGAAAGTGAAACTGTTTCTAGAGGATTAAAGAAAGTAAAAGCTGTTGTCTGCTTGTACCATCTTTCAGTGCATTTTCTCACACAGTCGCTGATCTGCAAAATACTGATAGCAGATCGGACAAGTAAAAGCAACTACAAGTTAGATTAAATGTTCAGATCAAACCTTTTTTTCCACAAAAGTGTGTCTAATATATGTAAAGGAAGAAAGCAATTCTGACATATGAAAGGTCCTAAAATCAAATTATCATCTAAATAACCAATGACTACAGTATATAAAGCCATAGTACATTTAAAACTCAAGCTAAATGGCACGATGATGAAAATGGATGAATTAAACACAACAGACACTGAAAAGGAGGTGATTTGGGTTAGGAGGATGTGTAACAATATAAACATTGGACTACAATATAAACATCACTTTCCTCTCCTTAAGTTGTTTTAACAGTCCACATAGAGCATTCATTAACAGGGCGGAGAGTTTGACAACTGGGGATGGGTGCTAGTTAGTTACAAAATTACAATAGTTTTAATGTACAGGACGGAGAGTTCGACAACTGGGGAAGGGTGCTAGTTAGTTACAAAATTACAATAGTTTTCATGTACAGGGCGGAGAGTTCGACAACTGGGGAAGAGTGCTAGTTAGTTTCAAAATTACAATAGTTTTCATGTACAGGGCGGAAAGTTTGACATCTGGGGAAGGGTGCTAGTTAATTATAAATTTTTAAAACATAATAGCCTGATTAATGTATACGCGGCCTAGCTCTGGTGATATTTAATATTGATGGTCTATACAGATATACCCACACAAGGGTTCATGTACCAGTAGGGAAGTTTTATCATATGACACAAACTTTTGAGAAACTTTTAAAAATAATTTCAAGTTTCCAATTCCATTTCTACTTTTTATCCTGTCAAGCAAATGTTTTGTATAACAATATGACAATCAAATCTTATTAGCATTACATGACTTTATTTGAAGGAATACCATTGTAATGTTGTCATATGATAAATCATGATGACAAAGAAGCAGGGAGGTTATGCCAATCGCAATATAACATAAAGTCTTTGGAGTACCAGTAACCAGCAATGGCTTTTATTCACTAGCTGTTACTATGACGATGCTATGATCTTAAATTGAAGTCAAACCGTAGCTACCGGTGATATCAAGCAGATTTCACTGCTGACTAATTAATAGTGGTCACTATATCTAACACAGAAAAAAACATATTGCCGACTTTACAAGATCAGTCAGCTTCAATATAAAAGCATACTATGTAATTTTAAACATCACAGTTCAGGTGCCAATAAAGAAAATGAATAATAGCCATATTTGAAAGTTGGCAATAACTGTTCATTTTTTATTTTTTTTTAATATTTGAAAGTTGGCAATAATTGTTAAAATAAAACTAAAGAAATCAACTCATTAATTTCACAAAAATATTCAAACAATTTAAACACAATAGATAAAGGATTTAACTGGTGAAAGTGTATGAAGACATACAAAATACTACTATTCGCATATTCTAGTCAAAGAATATAGAAAGCGGTGACTTCGGCTTCGACATGTCTAGGAACACACATGCAATGCACTGTAAGATACGTACGGACAGAGAACGGATTTACTGCCTTATTAAATGTTTGATAGCGACTGTAGACATTTATCACACAAACATTGATCACAGGGTATGGGATAACCTCAGAACATTTCCGCCTATCAAAACGTAATATGAAAACTAAAACGCCTCAAATTCCCAGCACTGATTCACTTGTATCAGTTATCAAATCAAACGTGAAACATATCCCACTTAAATCGATTAAAATTCTTAAGGGTCAAAATCCTGAGAATACAATATTTTATTAGTTTAAAATGATAAAACAGCTAATTAAGGTATATACTATTACATGAGTCGTGGGTATAAACTTTTACTGTTATAGACAATTCATACAAATTATTTACTTACAAAAATTAAACCCACCCTTCAAGATACAGGATCTTCTGAACTTTTTTGTTTATAAAATGCAAATGTTCATAATTGTGATGAATTCATAAAATGTTACATTCAACATGCAAAACTACCTCCTGATAAATATGTAAAGATATATAAATGAATCTGACAAATGTATTAACTTAATGTGACTTTGCTATTAGTTGGTTTTTCATAAATAAAGAGCTTTCCTTGAGAAGAAGAATGTTCTCATATATATAAAAGCATTTTCCCACAGCATGAAGCAAGCAGCATGACCTTTCGATATTTCCTCATAAAATATTAAAATTTCTGGGTTTTTTTCCATATGAGGCTATGATCTGTGCTGGCTTATCTCTTTGCAAGTATATTAACCTAAGTATTTATACAGATCAGCTTTGGAATCCACACGTACCTAGTTCTAGAAGGCTTTAGGTTCTATGGGAGATGTATAAGAATTACATATAATATGGTATTAGGAGATAAATTGGAGTATCAACAGTAAAATACATATAATGCAGAAAAAGAGTTTTGTTGCTAAAGAATAATGTTAGTGACAAAAAAAGTGACCTTTTTTCCCAGGTCAAAACTTTTCTTAAACTCTATATGCATATAGCCGTGGAAAAAAGCAGAACTATACGTCTCAGCAAAACAAACTCATGGGTTGGAAGCCAATCTTAACACTCCAGGTTTTTAAGATCACGCCTAACTGTGCAACAGTCACTCTTCAATGCAAAAAGTGTAAATGATAAAACCCTAGGAAATTTAAGCAAGCATGCTTTCAGGTTAAATTGATTAGTCCCCGGCACAACTTTGGTTTCCTCAAGCCCCTGCATATCCCAATATATATCATAATGATAATCAACTTCCTACATTTCATATTTGGCTATACAATGAAATGTCTCATTTACGAACATATAATAAGTAAGTACAGAATATTCCATACCTCCAATAAAAATTCCCCAAAAAATCCAAATAAATTAAAATAATTAAAAATATCTTTTCAGTATAATTCGGGTAGATGTTATGAGGTTATCCCGGCTTCAATTGGGCGTTATTTCACACGTTAGGACAGGAAGTTGTTATCTGATAGGACGTGGTGTTAATTATTGAATTAAGTCTCAGCAAAATGAAAACATTAATGATAAGTGGTGCTTCTAGTAAAGAATAAATTCACTTAAAAAAAAGATTGTTAACAAATCAACTTCTCATCCCTGTAATTTGCACAATGGATGATGCCATCATTTAAAAACGGACCAGTCCAGTGTAAATATTGGGGTAGAAAGTAGGGTTTATAACTGAACTTCCTACCCCCATAATTACACAATGGTTGATCCAGTCACATGAAAATGGACCAGTCCATAGTAAATGCGGGGATGAAAAGTGTCTTAACTACTTGGTAGTTGAACATTTCATCCCCCATAATGGTACATTGAATAATCCATTCTAGAGAAAACAGACAAATTCAATGTTAATCCAGGGATGAAAAGCCATGTTAACTGGTTTTAAAAAATACTCTGTTGAGAAAAGTTGTTTTAGTTGTCTTAGAAATCAAAAATCACTATTACATAGCTGGCGGAGGCGTAGAGATAGAAAGATTATAGAGAGAAAGGATAGATGTTGGACGGAGGTTTGTGTGTTTAGCTACTCTGGCAGATATCTGTGTCATCACGCACTGGTCATTACTCACCCTCGCATTTCCCTGTGGTGAACGATAAAATATATTGCAATGATAATTTGAAAAAAATATTGTTTTTCTTTCTCTCTCAAAATGTTTTTCGATTGTATTTTTGACATTCCTTTGGAGATATGTCTCAAATCTTCCAATTGTCATGAATTTTCTACGTAGTAACTCCAAAAGAACTGGCCTCTTCTTTTAAGAAATTTGCCATACAGTAAAGTGCAAATTTAAGAAAAATTATTTCAAATCTTATTGATCTGGTGGTTTGTTTTGAAACTCCCGTATTTACTTTCTGTAAATCATGGAAGATATACAAATGTTCCATACCATCCAAATAAAGCAAACTTGCATTCTTTTACATTTAGATCTGTAATGTTAATCTCCGACAAAATCCTAACTGGAGTTGACTTGCCCGTCTCATATGATGATAACCACCGGAATCAGCACACAAAATCTATCAGCAGATTTTGTAATACTACAGTTGATTTATTCTAAGCATATCTTTATAAACATATGGTTGTTTCCTTAATGTAAAAGAATGCAAGGCCTTATCTGGAGAATGAAATCCAATGAAGCCCTTAACATTTATCAACATATCGGAGTACGATAGATAAGCTACATTCTCCATTTTACACAGGATTATCCCCCCCTTGCATACAACATGTAGCATTATTACTACTGTTTGCAAACTATTTTTGCAAAGTGCAAAATAGACAAAAGTTGTTGCAAAAGGCCTTAAAGAATATCAGCACAGAAATTATTATCTTAGCATTGATCTTCTAATCAACACGCAGAGCAAGAGGAGAGAGTTCTCTGTTTAAATACATCTAATAATTACTTTTGGTTTTATATTTTGCATACTTGATGATGAAAATTACTATATGGTTAAATTATAATGGTCGTTATTGCCAAGTAAAATGGAAGTTTTTACACAGGTACAAATAAATATAACAATACAACGTCCATGTACTTCAGCGGTAGAAGCTCCAATAAATTTGAAGCCAGTCCAATTAATATGATTCAATTATTAGTTATTACCATGTCAAATTCACCAAACCAGCTAAAACTAGATCAGGTTTTGAATTCTTTGCTATTTGTCTGTTAGTAGTTTGATACTGGGGCATTAGTGAGCAGGTTCTATTACCTCTTGATGTATATAGCAGTTTGTAAGAAATTCTGAAAGTTGATCTGCATTTCTCTTTCTCTCTGTTCTTCTTCCTTCTTCTGGAGACTTGTACTGGCACACTCACAACAATCCGGACTTTTCTGATACTTCTTCTTTTCATCTTCAATTTTGTTTTTTTCAATATCTTTCTGCTCTTTCTGGTCAGCACGTTGTACCGCTAAGAAAATAACAAACATGTCATGTTTACATGGTGCATCATTCATCCCCTTATGATACTGTATTTTAACAGGCCGCCAGTGGCAGGTGTACATGTGTTGTTTAAAAGCTTATGTTTCAAATCATACCCACTATTTCATAGAAAGTTGCTCATTGAGGAATTTTCGGGCTTCTGCCCTTCATCAGTGTCATCAAGTATGCAGTCATTTAAAATGGACATCACAAAGAATCTGTACAGTTTACCCACAATGCCCCTGATGAATGGCAGGAGCCTGAAATTTCTTAATGAGCAACTTTGTATGAAATTTCTAATGGTACGTTTCCCTTGGGAAACTTTTCAAAGTTATTGTCCCAAATACGTTTATAAAATGAGACGTCTTTTTTCAGCAACCAATTTAACTACACTGACTTTGTCCTTGGAAAAACCATAAGAATAAACATATAAACTTACGTGAAACACAGTAGTTTCTGACATCATATTTATTGGGATCTAGCTCGCCTTTACGCCAGTAAACTTCATAATGTGTGACATTGCCGTTAGGGGATTCTGGTGGATTCCAAGTCAGGTAGAGTTGGTTTGATTTGATAGCTTTGACTTGTAGATTTTGAGGAATAGTAGGTGCTGAAAAAACAATAACAATTCTGAGTATCATCTATGATCTTTCTTCATTTTTTGTATGGAGTTAAGAGAAAAAAAGAGAGAAAAAAACACATAAATATGAACAAAGTTCATTTAATTAACTGAGATAATAATACTATTCCAACGAAGTGTACTTCTGTTGGCAGGTACACTAAATATATTTTAATAAGAAGACTTCTGTCAACAGTTAGGATAAAGCTATTCCCCTGAAGAAAGCTATTTCAATGTAACATTTTTTGTTAGCAGGCCGACTAGATTTTTTAATACTTCTGTAAGCAAGTAGACTAAATCTGCTTCAAAGAAGACCATCTGTGTAAGCAGACAGACAACAGCTATTCCACTAAGATTGCATCAGCTTTTAGGCAGGATAAAGCTAGGAAAGTTACGTTTCTATTTTCTGTTAACTAATACTAATGATGCTCCTCTCCATGACCTTACCTGTAGCGGCTGTTCTGAAGTATTTGACCTTGCTAATGGCGCCAACCTTGGCGAGGGCAGTGGTGTAGGTTTCTATATAGATGGCATACTGTGTCCAAGGTTTCAGCTTTAACAGAATCTCGTAAAGGTACGTCTCATTCATACCTTTGGTGCGGAGGACATCCTTGGTATTCCAGCTGTAATCACACAACATGGTCAATGGTCAGTATATTTACAACTTTACACAAATTGAATAAATTAAAGCTGCCTGGGATACAGAAAAATTAGCGCATTAAAGAATATGTTCGTTACCAACTGCCTTCATACTACCGCATATGCCGTCAAAATGAAGGTCAATCCTTATATTTACATTAATAAAATGTTTAAATGCTCCATTAAGCAGAAAAAAAGTCAAAGCGGGTTGCCAAGATGGTAACTACGGTAGCCGTAGTTGCTAGGACAATATAGTTCCAGTGAATCTACATCGATATATTAGTAAATTTAGAAAGTATGCAGTGAACAACACTATTTTTTTTCCTTTCATGGTTTTTATATTTTAAATTAAGCATTGTGAGAAACCCTTCAAACTTTTCTATTCATTTACAACGGTCGTCATGCACGCGCATTGACACACTGCTCATGGAGTGACGCGGTCAAAACGAAGCCGCCATTGTTGACGTTACCGCCAAAGAAATTTGAATGTGCATCCATGGAATAAGAAGTTTGTCAGTATTCTTTTGTTGTATAATTAGAAATAATGGATCCCGAATATGTTCTATGTATCTAGATGGTGAATGATCCAAACATTGGTTGTCATTGGAATGTTATTTCGCTGAAGCGTGAACGGTGCCATATTTGAAACAAGTATCAATCCGCCGAGCCTTTTTTCACTGCGCTGATTTATACGCAGTCAGCGTTTACTAAGCTAAACAAGGGAGACATGTAAATATTTATTATTGAATAGATACCAGTTGCTTTATATTGGACTAAAATTCATTTAGTTTCAAAGATGATGACAGCTTCGACGCAGTTTCACAAAATATAGAACTGTGAAAACGTTTTAGTCTAATTTGATGATCACATGAACCCCGGGAATGATTACAGCAGTATAACACCAGCTTTGTTGGCGACATATGACATACCCTGTCCTTAAGGATTCAAACCAAAATGAATAATTCCTTCATCAACATGAAGTTTACTTTATTCAGCAAGACATGTTATCATTTTAAATCATTATCGAATTACTTACAAATCCTCACTGCAGGCGTGGCGTCCATCGTAAGTAGAAACATTCTGGACAGGACTTGAAACAAAGACAAAATAATCATAACTCCTCAAACTAGTTTAACCTTCAGGAAACGGTCAATGTATGTATGTCCATGTAGTTCCACTACAGCCAAGCCTACTGTATATAGTCAAACATGTATATATTACAACGAGCAACAGAAAACTATCGGTACATGTACCCTTTGTACAGATGCTGTCATATATAGCCTTTTAAAGTACAATGAAAGTTGATCAATTACCTATTTGACTGTTTGCATGTTAGAAAGAAAAGTACAATTTGCTTACAGAATGCATAAGTTGGGATGAAAATTTAAAAACATTTGTTTTGATTGACTATGGATACAGAAATTTTAAGAATTAAACCTCAGTGTCTTTTTCATAGATGGGCAACACAGTTGGTTGGAATGCCTACAGAAACATGGCTACTATGTTTCTTATTTTTTCCTTGCATTTATTCCTTTTCATATTTACATCTTAATTCTAAATGATAAACACTTGAATATTAAGAATATGCAAAATGCACCAAAGAATTTCTTGTATTCTCAATCTCTATTACTTGAGCTGTGGAGACCAAATGACAAATATGTCCAGACAATACCATCTTCCTTTTCTCCTATAGAGAACACCTTTGTCGGGCCCCAGTCCTGTAGCAGGAATTGTGTGTGTATACATAAACTTAATGGTATGGGAGCAATGGAGACTTGAAAGCATGGTAATGTTCTCAGGTAGCATACATAGCACGAGTATATACTTGGTAAGGAATCCAAATTCTACGAGGTTTCAATGCTTACAGATACATATGTTCATGTCAAACTTTCTTACTTCACAATATGTGACTCGTCTCTAATTTAGCACATGCCTAGAAGGGAAACCTTTTGTAACTTTTTACAACTTGACCTTGAACAGTCGGTTTCCAGTTAGAAGTTGTATTCTACTTACGCTTCCTTGTAGTGAATTACATAGCTGAGCAGGTTTCGCTGGTCGGCAATTTTGAAGTTTTCCCACCTAAAGAAAGCCACTCGGGGTCCAACTTGAAATATGGTCAAGTTGAGTATTTCATAGACACCTACAAAACCATGGAGAGGCTGACATTATCTAGGGGTCACATTCCACATGCTAATGATGCAAGTCAAAGGTCAGAGTTCAAGACAGGTAGAAGGACAGTGTTCAAGACATGTAGTACAAAGTATATGCAGATCATGCAGACTAAAAGCTTCCAAATCATCTGTACTGATGCTCTTAATTACGGCGAATAAAGATCTAATTCAGTTGTGCTGTCGTTTTCCTTGGATGAAAATTCTTTGAATTTTTTTCACCATCATTTTAGATTTTTACAAATTTCTATTTCCTACATCTTACTTTTCATTCAAACTGGATTAATTCATTGCATTATGCAGTTCAAACTGTGACATTTTTTACTGTTATTATTAATCAGTGTTATCAATAAAAGTCGGTTGCTGGCAAAATAAGCCTGCTGTTCATCAACCTTTAACCGGCTATTTTGTGGAACATGTATTTATAATTACAAGTCAATATTATAGAACAGAAACATTCAACCAGCTATTCTTTCAAGTCAACCACCTCAAAACCTTTTCAGAACGCTTGATTAATTTTGTCCAATACGAGTCAATTTAAGTACTTTTTGGATATCCTTACATTTTGTCACATGGTTAAATTTGAAAACTTGGCAAGTATGCATTAGGGTTTTATATATTTTTGAAGAAAACTCATTTTTGCAATGCAAAGAGGAAATAAACAGTAACAGAAATATATCAACTTTCTATTCATCCTTGTGAAATAGTGAAACTTTCTTCAAAGTCATTGCAACCATATTTTTGAGATAACAGAGAATGTGTTATTATTGGAATGAATATTGTACAATGAAACTGTTGTTGGACAAAACAGCTGCAATAAATGGTGTGTTTGGTATATTCAAGCTTGTAAGTGATCTACAGTACATAAAGCTATCAAGGGTTCTGGGTACAGGGACAGCATAGGGGAAAGCATTCAGCATCAGTCCCTCTTCCGACGATCGTGTATTTGGGTAAAAGAATTTGATAGTGTGACGAATCTATTAGTAGCATCACTACAATCATTTCTCTACACCATCCAAATTGACTTTGTTAATGCGGAAGAAAACGAACATAGATCATCAATTTGTTAATGATTATTATCTGAAGTATGTGGAAAGAAATTATCGAATATTATGATCAATATTCAAAGATTAACACAGAAAGAAAATCAGGATAGAGCAGGTCAAACTTCTATAATGGATATTCATTTGTCAGAGTAAATGTCATATTATTGAATCAAGTTCTAATGTCATGTTAAAGTAATTGACAGAAACTGGAGCTACACGTCTCTTTAACATGTGTTTCCTAAATGTTTTTTATAAAATTTAACATTCATTAGTTTGAAAGTCAGCTAAATGTCAAGATAAATCTGACACGAATCAAACATGTTTTCAGTAAATGCTATAAAAGACAGCAAAATGAGGCTCTACCAAAATGAGGCCAGTGTTCATCAAAATACGTTACTTTTTATAATATTTTACCATTAAAAATGATAGCATTTACTACCAAAAGTCGTAATCTTGTAGTTGACAGTAAAATACTTCAAATTTGAATCAAAGGTTTTAAAATATGGACCAGAAAGATACAGGATCCGAGTAATTTGATTCAGTTGGATTTAGGTATATATGTAATACCGCTGAGCTTAATATAAATTCTTCGTCTTTTTTGTTTGTTTGTTTGTTGACTGTGGAATTCTAAAGCAACATCAATTTGTCCAAATCAAAATAAAACAAGAGGCCCAAGGGCCTTAGCTGTCACCTGAGTTATATCATAGGTACTAATAGCTTTATTTTATTGTTTCGATGTGATGTGGAAATCAGCATGTAAACTAAGTGAAATACAATACTTGTCATGTCATCATAGGATAAGAATTTGAAAATATTGGTAAATGATCCATTTGGGGCCCCGCCCTGGCCCCAGGGGTTGAGGTAGGAATCTCAATTTTACAATTTGAAACCATCTTCCTCTCTAAGGATAATTCTCACCAAGTAAAAATAATTTCCTACAGAAAGTTGTCATAATATACCCAAAAGTGTTATTTCCCTATATAAACAATAGTTAACTTTAACCCCTCCCCAAGGAAGAACGGATAGCTCGGGGGTCCTGAAATTTACAATTTAAATAAAGCCCCTGATGATCTTTCTTTCCACGCAGAGAAAATGATTGTAGTACCTCTGTGTCTGAAGAAGAAGAAGATTGAAAAATTGGTTAATTTTCCCTTTGGGGCCCCGCCCTGGTCCCAGGGGTTGGGGTAGGAATCCCAATTTTACAATTTGGTAGCCTCATGTACCAAGGATGATTCTGACCAAGTTTGAAAGAAATCCATCCACTGGTTCTAGAGAAGTTGAAAATGTAAAATGTTTACGCACGACGACGGACGGAAAGCGATTAGAATAGGTCACTTGAGCAAAGCTCAGGTGACCTAAAAATCCTGATGAATCCTACAGATAAGAGATCATGGCTAGACATACATGGCATCTGATCGCCGTTGTTCGTTTTAGAGATGTCATTTTCCGCTGTTGAATTCATTTTCACAGAGCTAAGGAGGTCCATAATCTTGTTGTAGCAGAGTTTACGATTGAAATGGAAGAACATGCTGCCGTTGAGAATCTCCAGGTTATTTTTCGTTTTTTCAGGAAACAGGTTTTCTAGATTACTGTTGTCGTTCACCATCAGAGCATATCTGAAATAACAATTACACATCTACTAGTGGTAGAAAAACAAGTACATATCGAAAAAACGATTCACTTGGGATTGTGGAAACTTAAATACAATATCTTGTTAACTATTGTAAACATCATATCTCAGCTTCCACAGTATTTGTAAGGTAAGTTATCCAACAGTACTTACAGCTAGGATACTGCAGTGATTTATCTACATTCTATTCACAGGTGCTTGTACCTTTTTAATTGGGAAATAACTGCAACATCTCCACTGAACCAGGCAAATATGTATACATTCAGAGCATTTAATACAGAACTTGAATTTGTTGGGGATAAAATAGATACATTCACAATAATTCAGTGATTTTTCCCATAAAGATATAATGATTCTGGAAAAACACAGCTTAATTTTTTTGCCGTTTTTGCCTGTCCTTACGAGGATAAATGAATCATTACAGTGAACATTAGTAAACAACATAATATGTATTGTAGTTTAAGTGAGAAAAGCGAAATTAACACGGGGTAATTACAAATTATTCTGGTAAAGGGTGAAAGTTGGACTGGTAAGTCGCCAGGTACTGGCAGTAGATCGGTGGTTTTCCTGAGGGAACTCCGGCTTTCCTCCACCACCACCAAAACCTGGCACGTCCTTAAATGACCATAGCTGTTAATAGGACATAACACAAACAAACAAACAAACTGGTCTAAAACGTTCTGGTATAGAGTCTACTGCTTACTTGGCATTGTAGAGAGTCATGCCCCGGATCCTCCTTAGGCTCCTGAAGAAGTTGAGAGACAGGAGTGCGTTGGAGGCATGAATCCACACGTAGGTCATCACTTCCTCAATCTGTCCCAGGCTCTCCTCAAGCTCAACAGCAATGTTACCTGGAGAAAATTTAACAAGTACTGAAAATTGTGCTTCAAAAACCCTGTAGAAGTTAAAACCATGTGATGATCAACATATCATCACAGTACAATCATTAATAACTGTTTACTTTTTAGAAAGGCCAGTAATTTTGTACTTATAACACGTATAGCCCTAGAACCTTTATCATAGATGAGAACTATGGTGTCACCACTAGTTAACACAATTAGGTAATTTAGGGCCGTGTTACAGTGAAAAATAAAGCAGTCAGCAACCAATGGGGCAGGTCCGAAAAACAGAGGTAGAATACATGTAGGTGAGAACAGATGCAGACAGTTGTAGGGGCCATTTCCTATAGTTCCACATGTAATGCTTTTGTTGGGCCTGGGTTGTTTTTATTTGAATTCATGATAAACTTCCCTCAAAACAATTGAAATCTATCTTGCATTAAATAGGGATTTTCTTTAAAAAACATGTCTGATTGTGTATGGTGTAGCTGCTGAAAAACTCATGATGTTTTCCTAGTAAATTGAGAATAAGCTGTCATGTGGGGATAAGTTAAAGTACAAAAGTCCATTAATTAACTCCAACCCCACCTCCAGATTTATTGATCAATAAAATAAATCTTGCTGTACTCACTGCCGGAACTGATGCGGATTTCCAAAGCTCCCTTGATGTAGGTACAGCCTTTGAGTTGCTGGGCGGCGTCTACACTGTCAACTCTCATGGGTGGGCAAACTGTCAAAAACAACACATCTCTATAGAGAACCCGGTAAAACCAGTTAGTCACATACAATATAAACAAGACCAAAGACACTGGTTTGGGTTAAAGCTACCGTGGTGTTTACTGTCCAACATTTGTGAGAATGCCTGGACGTTCTGCTATACTCTGGAATATATAAATTACAGACAAAAACACTACTGTCCTCCAATAGATACTGATACTATTCCAAATTATGATGTCCCTCCCTGATGATGAATTTCTTTATATCTTCATATTTCTAAACACACAGGTAAACATACCAGATTTTTTCAAAAGAATTTAGTAAGTTGTAAGGGGAAATAGATTTCCTATGAACAATAAAAAGTGACCTTGATCTTGGCCATGCCACCAACTAATGTAAGGTAATCTTATACTTGTTTATCATATGAAATTTATCAAAACCTGTTTAGAAGGAAGTCTTACGCATGATAACAAGTTTTCCAGGAATAGTTACAATGACCTTGGCCCTAGCACCTTGAAACATAAATAATTTCAAAGTATTCTCATACTTGGCCACGATATGATGTTGGTTTAAACTTATTCAGAAATAAAGACTCAAGAGTGATGACAGTGATTTTCTATTATCATAAGGCCAGACAAAAAAAACATTTTTCCTGTAACATGTTGGAAAAATTTAGGGTAAGTAGGGAACAAATTCTATTTTAACAAATAACTTTATATGGTTTACATAGGAGAGTGATCTCGACTTTAACAGTGCTTCTTTGAAAATTGCCTTAAAAATTTCAGGGTAGGCACAAAAAGTTAGGGTATGTAGGGTTACCGGAATTACCAAATATGTTTGGTTTGGCCTAACCATTTCAGGGAGTACAAACAACTTGGTTTTTGCAAAATACTAAAAAACATTTACATATTCAAACACCCCTTGTCAATGTTAGCTTATGTATTGGTTGGATAACAAACCATGGTTGGATAACAAACCATTTAGTACAGCTGCTAGACAGGTTTGTTGCTGACCAAGTAATACTTAAAACCTAACACTTGCTGTAATAGCTTGTATTTTTCGTGAAAGTGGCACTGCACAAATTGATATATAGTATACAGAGAACAACACTGCATAACATGAACTGTCAGTTGTACATGATCGATTTGTGTTTTGCCCGGGATTCTATGACACTTTCCTTGGATGCGGTAGAGTAAAGTTCATTTCATTTAAACATAAGTAGAATCTACAACATTTTCATTGTTAAATTCTTTCGCATACGTTTCTTCGTTGTTGTTACATGATCATGATTATACACGTAAAATGTATTTACTTTTGTGTGCACATTTTTGATTGAAATGAAGTTCATACAATTTTCCCATTTTCATTGTGTATGTTCTTTTGAGTTGTAGAAATATTCGGTATCTATATTTGTGGTTCCATAGCAACCAGGAAAACAATGAAAGTTTATTCACAACGAACATTTCCAGTTATACAGTAGCAGACGACACCCACCTTTTGGACACCTTCCCGGACACTTTTCACACTTGGACACGTTATTAACAGTCATCCCAGCCGGACAGTAGGGGGCACATTCAGCCTCCGTGGTGTTTGTAAATGGGACCAAATACATGCTCATGCTCATGCACTCCTTATCTAAGAGGCAGCGCCGATTGTGGATCTACAATAGAAGAAACACCATGTTACTATATATCAACAAAACCTTCAAAATATTGACAAAAAAATTACATTATTAGACACATAAGATCTTTGTGGGTTGAACAATCAAAAAGGTAATGTATCAACATGGATAAGTCTAATTAAAACCGTTGGTTTGCATTCGAAGAACAATTATCTCAATCACACTTGTAAAATTTAAGATACATTTCAGCCGGTTTCTTCATACAAGAGGACCTTGTCAATTCCAAGGAAGAGAGGGTAAGACAGGCCACCCTGTTAATTATTCACAAAACACATGACAGATCCACCTTAGTGCCAGGCATAACTTGTTTCACAGAAGTGTCCGTCAAGACAGATTTCAGCGTTACTTATATGCGTTACACCATACCTTGTAGGTGCCTGGGGAGCAGTGGTCGATACAGTGGGGATACCCTTGGGTGCTGTCAATTACATTCCTGCAAGCAATGCACTGTGATGGCTTGGGTCCATAACATCCTCCCAAACATTTCGGGTCACAGCATCTACCTTCAAAGCATGTCCCACTGGGGCAGTTACTTCCACTGGGACAGTCTGTAAAATAAATCATCTTATTATTTACAGATCGCACAATGGTTGTTACCCAATCATCACCACTTTTAATGCGGATACCAATAGTAATGACAGAAAACATCATTGAAAACAATTTATACTGGTAACCTTGAATTGCTAATTTTCATCTGTAATTATGAGAAACATTGTCTCCCAGGGAATGCATATTTCATATTTTAAGTACTAGCCCGCAAGCATAATCTAAAAAAATCTACTGGCCTAACCTATATTAGAGACAGACAGACTGAAAGGCATACGCTAGGACGAAAAGCTATGGCCTAAATTGTTTCATTGATAGAAAATGTCTTTGGCTACATCAATTGTTAATTTTCAGTTATATGGAGGTACCTTTATAGATCAAATTTATTTACAATATACTGACAATACCTTTAGACAAACACTGCAATATAACATTATATGTTGATAAGGGATGTAAGTTACAAACTGACATTTTCAGGAAATATAAGATTTAAGATACACAGTTCCATGTGTAATATCCTACAATCCTAAAACAGACTATTTTTTTTATATTACTACCACGTAAATCATTCATTTCATTGAAATACTCTACATTTAGATACTAATTGAAATCAGACACAAGCATATGATTTAATTCCAACACCCTCAAAGATATTTACATTTTGTATGTCATTGGGTGTGTATAAAATTAAGGTGTTAATCAGTTCAGTCGAATAACTATATTGTGAAAGTACCTAGATGTTTACAAATTTACATAACTAATATTGAAAGCTTAATCTGTTGATTATGCCCTAGATTTAGAGACCTTATTTTATAATTCTCATATATTGACCTTTTTATATAATTCTCATATTGACCTTATTTTATAATTCTCATATATAGACCTTATTATATAATTCTCATATTGACCTTATTATATAATTCTCATATATAGACCTTATTATATAATTCTCATATTGACATAATTCTCACATTGACCTTATTATATAATTCTCAAATAATGTTTCATTTTATACCTTGTACTTCCCATTACAATTAACATTTTATTTCAATTGTTTAAATTTAGCCATCTTAAGTTAAATAGTTTGTAACAAGCAGGTGGGTGGAACCCATTACGCCCGCACTCTCTTGCATCCTGTCCATACCGACAGCTCAACATAGTTTTTGTCAATAGATGAAAATTATGCTAATGAATCATAAATCGATCCGAGATGTAGTCGATCATTGTCAAACCTGACAAAATATCATAAAATGTATACATACAATAATGTAGCCACAACCTTCAGATGATTGATAATCAGGCTGTGAGAGGTAACAAAATATAACAAGAGGCCCATGGGCCTTAACGGTCACCTGATATATTTATACAGAGAGTTGATTTCGTTTTTAACATGAACAGAAATATTATTCAAAGTGACAAAAAACAATAAAACCACCTTATTCAATATCAAGCATACAGATTTCAGACTAAAAAGGATTTGAAACTAGCACCTCTGATTCTAAACAAGGAAAATGAAGAAATTTTAGCACACTGACTCCCTTGAGCCCCACCCTACAGCCCTTGGGGGTAGGGCTGGCTCAAAATTTTAAAAGTATCAAACTGTCAACTCAAGGTTATAATTCCAATCAAGTTATTAACATGTAATACTCAAAGTATCATTTGCCATTATAAACCATAATAAATTTTGCCCCCCCCCCCCCACATTCCTTCCCATGGGGGTAAACGTGAGACCCTTAGGTCATAAACCTTAAGACCCTTCCATCTATGAAGAGTATTTGATTCTACC